AAAAGGTCTTATCGTCGGCGTATAAATATAATTATATTAATATGCGAAAGGTTTGATCCTATAGCTAAACACTATTTGAAATAAGGAATAAAAACTAAACCAAACCAACCCCCACCTAAAACGGATAGCCGTAAGGCTGTGGCCTTTATATGGTTTTTAATTAAATAATATATAAAATTTTAAAGTATATAGGAATAGTTTTGATTAAAAAAATAATAGATAATAATCCTATATGCTAAACGCAACGAAAAACAAAGGCTTATAAGTCTTTCTGGGATTTATAAAGCCATTTTAAGCTAAGCCTCCATAGCTATTTTTAGTGGGCATCTCCAGCGCCCCTATATTAAAATAAATTTTTCGCAATTTATTAGCGTTATATAAATCTTTTTTTTATTTATAAATTTAGCGATCTTTTTAAAATAAGCCTTTTAGGAAAACTAAATTATTTTAGATATATAATTTCTAATTATTTTTATCCTAAAAAACCACTATATTAGCTCGCTATTATTAATTTTATACTTTTTTATAAAATATTATATTAAATAATTAATAGCCTTTTTATTTTTATTTTTATATGCGATAATTATATTATTAACGTAAAAAAAAATTAGTATTTTTTTTTTAATAAATGCGTAAAATTTATATAATATTTAAATATAACCGATTTTAGCTAAAGTTTTTATAAACTTTTTTTATTATAATAATAGTAATATTTATAATTTATAAAGTGCTTTATTTAATAATAATATAACGTTTTTTTTTCGATATTTATCCGGTATTTTTATAAATATATTTTAATTAATAAAAGCGTATATAAACGCGTTTATTACGTTATATTATATTAATTTAAAATCGAATTTTGCTATAATCGCGATTAAAGTGCGAAATAATTTTTTAGCTAATATAGCCGTATAAGTTTTTTAATTTTAGGATTTCGCCTATTAATTACCGTAAACGACGAATTTTGTTTTATATTTTTAAAATTTTTTATATTTATCGAATTTATATATATATATTTATATATAATTAAGGATTTATTTGTTTTTTATTTATAAATTTTTTTTATTAATTTTAGTTTAAAATTATATATTTTTATAATTTTATAAATAATTAGTTTTTGCTTAAAAAAATAATTTATTAAACGGATAATAATATAATTTATAATATTATTTAAAAGGAGCTAGGATTTCCGTTTTATAAATTTTTACCTTTTAATAAAAAAAGCGTTTTAGCTTTGCTTTATCGTTTTAATTATTGCTTTATCCTATTTTAGAAACGGCTTTATAACTAGCTAAAAAAGCTATTTATTATAGGATTATTTTAGGTCCTTTTTTTAATAACGCCGTATTTTTAATTATAATCGCTTTTATATTATATATTAATAAAGCTAATAAAAGTATTTATAATAAAATTTAAAAGGTAAATTTCGCGGTAATAAAAAGATATTATTTATTTTTTTTATTTAGCGCTATTTTTTTATTTTTTTAATTATTATTTTCCTTTTAATCGTTTTAATTATTATTTAATAAAATATTTTTTACGGCGGTATTTTTATTTTTTAATTTTTATAGGATCTTATTTTTAAATATTGCGTAATTAATTATAAAATCGGCGATAAGCTAAATATTAATATTTAAAAATTTGTTTTTAAATATATTTTATTTTTTATCGTATAATTTTTTTTTATTTATAATTATATTTTTTATATTAATTAATTTATTTTAATTAAAAATTTAAATTTTATAAATATTAAATAATTTATATCTAATTAAATATTCTATTTATATTTTAGGTATTAATCGCTATAAACGGCTAAATTTCTATTATATCGTTAGCGTTATTACGTACGCTTTATATTTAAATATTTTAAAATAGGTTTAATTAAGCTTATAGTTTAGATTTAGAACTTTTTTTGCTTTCGCAATTACTTTATAAAATTTTATATATAATATACGCTATCGGGAATTATAATTCGGCGTGCGATTATATAAATATACCGCGATTTTGCCGATTTCGGGCTAAAGTTAATAAAGGAGTTTTGCGCTAATACGCATTATTTATTTTTTTTTTAATTATACCTTTTAAACGTTTAATAGCTTTATTTTAGGCTTATATATATAATATTAAAGGCTTAAATTTAATATATTTATTTTCGAGGTATTTTTTTATTATTTATTTAATTTTTATAATTTCGTTATCGTATTCGATAATTTTAATTTTAATATTATATTAGGTTTTTATTATATTTAAAAACGATCGGAAAACGTTAATTAATATAACCGTAATCTTTTTTATAAAATAATAATTTTATATATATTCCGTTTGCCGATAAATAATTAATATTTAGGATATATAATTTTCGATTTTTTTAATATAATTATAAAAATTTATAGCTAGTTATTCGCTATAATTTTCGTTAATTAGCCGTAGCGCTCGCCGTAATTAACGCGTAATTTTTATAAATGCGTAGGCTTTATATTTTATTATAATTAGTCTTTTAATTTTTACCTTTTAAAATAAATAAATAAAATATTCGAAAGCTACCGGGCTTAAATATCCTATTTTATAATATTATCGTATAGCTTTTTTAATTAATAATAGTTTTTTTATTTATATTATATATTTTTTCCGGTAAATAGCAAATAACGCTAAAAATAATTTATAAAGTCTATATTCGAAAACGTATTATTTATATCGGTTTTAAAATATATTAATTAAAAATTTATTTTTTTTGCGTAATATTATAAAATCGTTTTTATTATCCTAGTAATATTTTTATTTTTATAATTAACAAAATAATATTAATATAATTAATAGCCTAAAATAATAAATTATATTATTTAATAATAATATTTTAAATCCGAGCTATATAATTATTATACCGTATCCGTAAATAAATAATTTCCGGTCGCTTAATTAAATAAAATCGTAATTAAAAGCTTATTTATAATTAATAAGCCTTTTTTTTATATTTATAATTAAAATTATTATTGCTAAATTTAAAATAACTAAATAGCGTAAAAAATAGTTTTTTATAAATATTATAAAATTATTTTATACGTTTATTATTAATCGTCCGTTTTATTAATTTATATTAATCGGGAGCGATTTTTTTTAGTTATTTATAATATGCTAATTCGGTTAATTTTAATCCTTTTTATATTGCGAACCTATTTTTATAAATTAGGGTTTTTTTAAAGGCTTTATTTATTTATGCTTATATTTTATTTTTAAAAACGAAACCTAAATAGGCTTTTTTTAAAAATACGTAAAAATATAAATTAAAAATATAAGGAAAATAATAAATAAAGTATTTAATATTTTTTTATTTTTTATTATAAATAATTTATTTACCTTTTTTTTTACGTAAATTAGCCGTATTTAATTAGGAAGGCATTTAATTTTTAATAGGATAAATATTTTTATTTTATTTATTTTAAAGCTATTTTTTAGCTTTATTAGCATAAATTATAAAAGCGCTTTTTTTAATTTTTAGCCTAATTAGCTATTAAATATTTAAGCTTTTATAAAAGTCGTTATTTATTACCTAATATTTTAAATTTTTATTTAAAATATTTTATTTTTTATAAATTTAATAAAAAACGGCCTATTATAATATAATTAAAATAATTATATTTAGGAAATTTATAACTTAAACCGAATTATTTTATATTTTAATTATTTATTTTATTTAAGCTTTCGCTATAATTATTTTTTATTTATTAATTTAATTAATAGCTTTTTTTAATATTTTTAAAGGCTTAAAAGCTTTTAAATATTATTTTTTTGCTTTTTTTTTATTATTTATAGCTAATTTGCTATAGCGAGCCTTTAAATTTTTGTATTATTTATATAAAGGCTTATTAATTAAGTAATATATAAAAAAAAAATTTAGAGAAATTATAATAATTATTTATTTTATAATTTTTTTAATCGCTATATATTATTTAGCGTATATAGCCTTTTTTATTTTATAATAATTATAATCGAAATTAAACGATTTTTAACCTTTTTTAATAAAATTTATTATTATTTATTCCCCGTTTTTTTTATTTTAAATACTCGGATCGTCGCTTTTATTTATAATTTTAAAAATCGTTACCGCGGTTTTTATATATTTAGTTTTTTTTATATCCGGTTTAATTAAAATTTTAATTAAAATCGTTTTATTTTTAAAATAATTAATTAATCTGGCAATTTATACCTAAATTTAAAATATATATTTTTAATTATTTTAATCGGAGGTTATTTTTAATAATATTATTAAGCCGATTCCGGCTTTTTTCGTAATTATTATTTTTGTAATTTTAGCGAAAATATTAAAATTTTTAATTATTAATTAAAATAATATTTTCCTATTAAAATTTAAACTAATTTAATATAAATATTAATTATATAATATATTAATTTATATTTTACGCCTTTTAATTTTAATAAGGTATACGCTTATTTAAATAGCCCCGGCTAATCCCTAAAAGGTCCCGTATATTTATTTAAATATTATAGGGTTAATCCGTGTGCTTAAGCATACCCCAGTATATGGGAATTATAATCCACCATCTAATAGTAATCGACGACGACGACGTCTTTAATAATCCTTTTTTAAATAATAACTAAGTAAATAAATTAACGCACGGGCCACTTCTTATATAATTATATGCTTTTTGCAAACTTATCGGATTTAAACGAATTAGGCCATATTTAGTTATACTAACTAATGCAGGGTGCTCTATAGCTGGGAATTATATGGGTGGGGTCAGGTAACCAAGCCCGGATAACGGAGGGGGGGTAGCCCGAATAATATTCCTCTAATTTATACCCCATAGCTGTGACTTATTCCCCGCCAGTTCAGTGAGCAGGACAAGTGACTATGCCATGTTCTGTCCATGTTGTAAACTGCTCCGAATGGTGACTTGATGTCTTGCAACCTCCCATTCACTCGGCTCACTTGGAAATGCGGCGATTGCGCAATAAGCGGATCTGAGTAACCAACCCCCGCAATGACAACAAACCCGGCACCGGCCGCTGAGCCCGAAGCTAATTCTAGTGCTGTAAGGGCTGTGGGAGGACGGGCAGTCAACGCGTAAGCCACAGACTCCCTCACACATCAACGCCGCCATCGCATACAATATAGAAATATCTGTTGACGTGCCGGTGTCTCTTCTAGGTGTGAAAGATGTCGCAAGCAAAAGACAAGGTGCTCGGGGACGTCGGGCGGCAGGCCGTGCAGCGCCTGTGCGAGGCGAAACGTGCCATGCAGGTTCAATAGTCGCCATCAAAAAGTCACAGTCACGAAAGGGTATGTTTTTTGTTCCAAGTAGAGACTTGTGCACACATGGCTAAACATGCCATAGCTATATTGAAGAATTGGAAAGAAGAGCTTCGCACCGGAGTGCCTCCTCTCAGCCCGGTGTCGAGGATGCCCATCAGAATTCTTCCGGGGCAATTTCTCAGTCACCTGGGGCACAAGGCCAATATTCCCCCACGGTTGATGCGCAACCGGACACGTCGTCGCAACCACAGCCCGTGGCCGCGGCTACGACGCTATCGACAGCATGCTCACATGAGACATCATTAACGAATCCACTAACAACCGGTCAATCAACCTTTATGAGTGCAGATGACGGCACAACATTGTACTTGGGCACATCTTCGAACTGGTCCTTTACACAAAAGACCCTCAACATGGTTTATGAGCATGTCTTTCACGAAAACATGCCGCTCATAGATCGCGTTTTTGAGGGCCAGTCATACGACTTGGGCTGGAGCGGAAAACCTGCTCAATCGCTCACACCACCCGCTTTGCCAGACATTGATCACGCAATTCATCTTATAGATACTGTCAAGTTCTATTGTGGGCAAATGTTTCATCTTTTCGACCATGACACATTCATGCCGGCCCTTCATGAATTCTACAAGCAACCGGGAAGCGCCTCGTTGGATGAGCTGTGGTACATTCATCTACTGCTCATCTTGGCTTTTGGGAAAGCCTTCAAGAATAAGCGAAGACAAGGAAAATGTCCTGCCGGAGCCGAGTTCTTTGTGAATGCACTTCAACGGCTGCCGCATATGATTATGCTATGGCGGTACCCCTTGCAGGCGGTAGAGATTCTTACCTGTATTGCGCTCTATCTCCAGTGCATCGACTATAGAATTGCAGCACACAACTACGTAGGTTCACGAGTCGATATCAACATCCCCGCCCACGTGGTCTATGAGCTTTTGAGACTGATTGATACCAGATTGGCCAAGCTATGCGCTTAGCTCTCGGCCATGGTCTGCATACAGATATGCCGGCAGAGCGAATTGGCGTTGAGCTCGTAGAAAGATCAAGACGGGCGTGGTGGACCGTGTACATCCTGGATCGAGAGATGACATCCACGGCAGGCGTTCCTCAGTCAATCCATGATGATGATGTGCATCCTCAATTACCCAAGTTCTCGGGTCTGGTTCAGCCGCGCGAGGCGTTGCGTATGCGCATCAGATTGTCGCAGGTAACCACAGATATCAACAGAAGTAGGTCATCGGCGATCCAAATAAGAGACACACTGAGCTGATTTGTGCCGCGGGCATTAGCCATATACGGCGTTGACGGCAAATTGAATAGCAAATTCCTAGATAGTACGAGGAATGTGCTGGCCAAAGTCGCAAAGATTGCGGACGATCTTCATAGATTGTTTCCAATACGCCTGGAACCAACGGCCGGTGGCCTCTCGAGAATTTCTGCGCACTTGCATCTTCACTATCACCGGGTAAAATACAACCCTTTCTGACCATTGATCAACGCGAAATGATACTAATCCCGACTGCCGCGACAGAGTATCATCCTTGCGACACGACCATTGCTGTACTGCTTCCTGAAGATCCGCCTTGAGTCACCATTAGATTGTAGCGCAAAACTCGAAGCCTCGGAAACTACTAGAAATCTGATAGAAATATGCGTGGATTCTTCAATGCAAACGCTCATGATTCTATGTACACTATTGGCTCATGATCTTTTAGGTAAGTGATTCCGTTTGTTGCCTGGTCTTTTCCTTCTTTTCCATTATTAACTTTTGCCGGGACGCGGACCTTGCTCGGACTTGTTTTTATTCCTTTGGCCTTTGATTTTGACATTATTTTCATGCCTCGGGAAGTTCATCTCAAGTCTGATCCTCTTTTCTACTAGATTCAGTGTTACCTTTTGATTTGGAATCGGCATCCATGGCTGCGATCATCATTATGATTGCCTCAACCGTCGATGCAAGCTTGATTGTCAATGGCTCAGATTGGCTTCAAAAGGCCAGATCAATACTAGGCAATCTATATGCCAATGGTAACGAATTATCCATGCTACATATCTCGGAACTCAAGCAATTGGGCCGGTTATTGGCAGGCTTGAACATCACTCCAAGCCACACAACGATGGGCGGCTTGGATGAAGGGTCTAATGGCAGTGTCCCGTATCAAAATGATCCACGAGCTTTATTTGTGTCGATGACAGTGGAGCCCAGTCTTACATCAATAGGAGAACTGTACAACGCTGCGATGGAAGACACTGGCACATTTGGATCATTCATGGCCAACAATATTATGGACTTGGTCAATTCCATTGATGACATAGACAGGGACTGGATGCCACAGACGATGGCTGAATATGATATATGGTAGCTTCTCCATCCGAAGATGATGGAAATATTAAGAGGGTAGAGGCATGTCTGCAAATGGTCATGGTTGTTCTGCCAGAGGTGAAGCATTAGCAGCTCCTCCTGATAAGACCTACGGAAATGGGCGTCGCGAACAAGGCAAAACCCAACCAACATCCTGTCCCTTTCGAAGACGAGTCACCATATTCGGCCTGTCGCGAATCATTTTATGTAGTCGATGTGGCAGGAAACTGCTTGGGTTTTACAAGTCTTTCTGCGCCCAAACGCAAGCAGCAGAATACCCCCGGAATGGGTACATGCAATGCAGTCAACAACACGCGAGCGACACTGCCGAACGATAAAATAAAAAGATTCATCAGGATCCTGATATATATAATTCCCAATCTTTCCGCAGGACTATCAATCAAGTACGTTGATAGTAAGTCATGACTGGCTGTCGAAACCCCACAGGCGCCATGGGAGCAGAATTGAATGTATATATTCCCGTAGTATTCCATGTTCAGAACACCTGAGAGCCAAGCTTACTTTTGAGAATAAATTATCAATCGTATTTTTGTATAGTATTATATTTATCATCGTCAGTTGCCTTTGTGGGGTTCGGAAAAGCGACCGTTCGGATCAACGCTTATCGTGTGCGATACGAGGATATATGTCTCCGTAACCTTGCATTGTCAATCGAATGATGTACAAAGATGATGTGAGATATTTCAGCTTGACCAAGAAAGGGGGTATCGGCAACCAAGTCTTTGATCCTCATGCAGGCCCAGATATACCGGGTTTTCCGGCCCCGCAACCGATTCCGAGCTCAGAAAGCCTGGTGCTTCACACAAGGGAATTCTCATTCGGAACGGATGAAATTTGGAACGGTTCGGAGAACTGCCCGGTGCCGAGTTGTCCGACGTGCGTAGAGCAGCCAGATTCAGCTTCGAATACATTGGATCCATTTTGTATGTTCCATTGGGGGCGATGACAAGCTATTCATCCCGAACTTTCCACGAGTGACGGTAGGATGATGAACATACACTTACCCACTGTACAAGTATGGATAAGACAAATCTAGAATGTTTCATATCTTAATCTTATCTGACTATGGATGTATTCAAAAAAATGTATTAATGTGAATTAAATCATTTTACAAATCTATTCAATAAAAACCAGAAATGACGAGATATGCTGAAAGGGTACATGACCTAGTCTTATCTCTATGGATGCGAATTTGTCGTCTCCTATCTACAGCGATGAAAGTCTTGGTAAATTTGCATACCAACAAAAACATGATAAGCACGAATCTGTATGTCTGGGCAGGTCATGATAGATTTTGTGGGCGCCCGAAACTACAGCAGCATCCATTCAGGAGACTTGAACGTGACTAGACAGACCTTGTCGTATGTGAGCGAATGACTCGATCTTGCTGCGCCTTTTTCCCCCCTGCTGAATATAATTAGGATGCAACGTGATGCATGTTTTGGGTTCGAGAACAGCTTGAGCTCTCTAATTAATCCTCTACGGCTATGTATTTGTGCCTGATAGATTGGAAATTTGTGTAGACCATATATCATCTATTTCGATTATGGCGAGAACAAGCATGAATTGGTGTGTGTGGCTGAGACTGTCGAAGAATATACATAAATCCTCATCAGGCATGCATATGCAGCTGTAGACTTTATAAGCAATATCACAAGAATAACTGCGTGCAACTGGATCAGAGAACCACAAGGGAGTAGTGTTGCATAATACATTTGTGAAAGAAAGGCATCATGCTGCACACGTTGGCAAATCCTTCACGGCTTCTGCAAGAGCCCAATAGTAACAGTCAGAAACCAAATTCGGGACTGTGATGTACGTTGAGCAGGATCTGTTCATTCCTCGCCTCCCGAAACACCGCATCGGATGTTCCAGCTCTTCCATCAACCACCCTGTCACTGGCTTTGATTTTCAAGTGCGACCCAAATTGGACTTGTGACGCCATAACTAAGCACTTGCGGTTATCCCTCAGTCGGCTTCTCCTTTTTCTTGTCCCCTTGTATTTTGAATGTCGCAAATATCCGACGCTTACTCTTCTTGCTTTCTTGCTTGTCGCGTCCAATTGGCGCCTTACTGATTGATCTAATGGACCTCGAGATATCATATCTTTATTATACAGCTATTTATTAGATGAGATTTTATAATCTCTTTTCGAATAGGTTTAGCACCATGTCCCCAACTACCCTCAATACTATCAGTGCAAGACGTATCAGGCAGTTGTTGCCTCTTCCACGGCGGTCGCTTTCCCTGTAGGATCCGGCACTTTTACATAGTAAACACTCTCGAGTACAATCTAAACTAGGTACAAAGTACATTTGCCTAGGTAGTAGTGGTAGGCTTGCCTGTCCCGTGACTTGGGAAATCATGCAGCAGAGTAGCGCGTATCGGGTCCACATGCGGTGGCTGAAAACTCAAATCGGGAAAGTTACCGCGCCCGCCTAAGCAGATTAAGTGGTCTGGCTGCACAGCATTTCAAGAAGTAAAGGACCTTTTTGACTGATAGGGAGAAGATTGGAAAAGATTGCGTACAGATATTAGTACACCTTTCATGTGTGTATCTCTTCACTTGTAGGACAGGCGTTGCAAATGACGTAGTTGCAATTCCATGTCATAATTTCTCGTTCGGCAGTATTGTTTTATGTATTGTAGTAAAGAGCCGCGGATACATGAGGGATTTGAACCGATCCTTTCCCTTTTCGACACAGAATGAACGGATGACCTCCCGTGCTATGGGAGTTTGACTGGTATAATTGCCATTACGTACTGGCACACCGGAACCGTCCCCGTAGCGGGTCTTCGAGGTAAGGCCGATCAATGCGTCCGTCCGGGGGTGGCCCAATTCGTTTCCAGATAGGGACGTTACGATCTCGACACTGGGCAACTGGGTTATCAGCCCCCTGCGCACTGCGTAGTGTACTCGTCGTGTGCCTAGGTACGCAAAGTTCTTTGGTACCACGGTACATGATTCGGTAATTTCTTCCGCCAAACCATAAATGGGGAAGAACCTGGGGAAATCTTGCTAGTCAGTCTAGTGTAGAGCAGAATGCAACTCCACAACGCCAAAGTTAGTATGCAGTACCGGGGGCTGCACCCATTCTCTTTTTACCCAGGCATCTCCCAACATGACATCAGTTCTTCCCATGACTGAGTTGGTCGTTATCTTTCTGTCAGGAGAAATGCCACAGTAAGTCCCCTGCTAGTTCGGTAGATAAAACAACCCGTTTATCCTGGGCAACTGCGCCAAGCGTCAACATGCGAGCTCGCGGCTAGGTATAAATAGTCGTACAATTAATTGCTCATCACGACTCCCTTACCTTTTGTTACTTGTGAAAGCCCTAAAGATATACCGTGACACTTGGTTCATATTTATCAATGAGGAAGGTTTCTCCTGCTTTCTCCACAACTTCCTAATTTATGGCCACTAGAGCCCGACATGTCTGACACGACAAAAGAACACGAGGCCAAGGGCGATGGCCAGGATATCTATCCCGCGCCTTCACACGGGGTTGGGCATATCGGCGAAAGCCTGGAACCCAAGGCAACAACCCACGATGCTGTCTTTGGAGAAATTACCGAGGGTGGTCCAAACTATCGCAATGTATGTCACCCTTATTGATCACGACACAATCCTCAAGCTGCCATGGCATACAAGGTGTAACACTGTATGCTGATGCATGATTGCAGGTTGGGTGGATAGGCACATCAGTCTTGATGATGAAGACTCAGATCGGTCTTGGTGTCTTGTCGATTCCATACACCTTTGACGTTCTTGGCCTGGTCCCGGGAGTCATCGTCATGTGCGCTATTGCTGCAATCACTACATGGTCAGATTATATCATTGGAGTTTTCAAGATAAACCACCCCGAGGTTTACGGTATCGACGATGTTGGCTACCTACTCTTTGGTACCATTGGGCGCAACGTCCTGGGTGGGGCCTTTATCTTGTGTAAGTCTGGGCTGTTTGATTCGAATCACACAACTGGGTAGCTGACATGGCGTTTTCATTAGACTGGATTTTCGTTGCTGGTTCAGCAATGCTGAGCATGTCCATTGCATTGAATGCCCTTTCGGAGCACGGTACCTGTACAGCCGTTTTTGTCGCCGTCGCCGCCATTGTCATATTTTGCCTGTCCAGCATTCGCACGCTGGGAAAGATTAGTTGGCTCGCGTGGGTTGGCATTGTCTGTATACTGACTGCCGGTAAGTCCTCTTCCATCATTGAGAGACTCACTCTTGACTTTTACTGATGGTCGCGCTTCCGCAGTCTTTACCGTGACTATTGCTGTAGCTGTCGAGGATCGTCCATATGCTGCGCCGCAAACCGGAACTTGGGTTACAGACTACCAAGTTGTGGGAAACCCATCATTTACGAACGCAATCTCGGCCGTTTCCTCCCTTGTCTTTGCTTACGCCGGAACACCTGGATTCTTCAGCATTGCTTCCGAGATGCGAGACCCGCGCCACTATACACGCTCCCTCATGGTTTGCCAGACGGTTGTTACAGTCACGTACTGTATCGTGGGTATTGTGATCTATTACTATTGCGGTTCTTATGTCGCCACTCCTGCGCCTGGATCCGCTGGACCTTTGGTCAAGAAGGTGGCCTATGGTATTGCTCTTCCTGGTTTGTTGGTGTCAGGCATCATCACAGCTCATGTAAGACTCTCACAATTATTTGGACATAGCTGGATACTGACCAATGAACAGTTGCCTAGCAAATACATCTTTGTGCGAGCCTTGCGTGGCTCGAAACATCTTACTGCCAATTCGTTCATTCACTGGTCCGTGTGGCTTGGCTGTACTTTTGCCATATCTCTAGTGGCATATATCATTGCCAGCGCTATTCCGGTTTTCTCAGGACTCGTATCATTGGTTGGCGCCTTGTTGGGCACTTTGATGTCGTTTCAACCCATGGGCGCCATGTGGCTGTACGACAATTGGGGCGCAAAAAGCCGCTCAATCAAGTGGTGGGCAATGGTCGTTTGGAGCGTCTTCGTGATACTTTCGGGAACCTTTCTCATGGTCGCGGGCACATATGGAACTATCGCAGACATTATAACGTCATACACTACTGAGGGAGGGTCCAGTGCATGGTCATGCGCGGACAATTCTGGAAGTACCTGAGCTGTATACTCAAGATCTGCAGGCAAATTTGTAGGCCAGCGCACTGAATTAAAACTTTGAATGCACAATACCTCTACGACAATGGCCGTCTCAGAATTCCAGCCTTGGTTGTATTGGTTGCTGCAGACTTCTGCGTGGATATAGGCATTGCCCAGTGATGATGTGCGGTTCTGGCTTGCTTGCGACAACTGCAAGTTCACCACACAACACAAGTGCAGTTCTTGAACGGTGTTCAAGCACCCTGACAGATATATCGGTTGCCAAGTCTATCAAGGATAGCCACTAGTATTGAAAAAGTTGGTGATCATGAAAGAGTTTCAATTCAAAAGTTATCTAACTGAACTCCAACGCCTTTGGCCGTGGCCAAAGCAAGAACAGCTCTTCCAGCCGCAAGGTCTGTAGTGCTGACTCCAATACTCTTGTACACCAAAAGACCATCCTCAAGCCATTCATGGAGCTGCTTTGAGTTTTCAGAACTTCGCAACTGCTCAATTTGACCGATCTCGATAATGTCGCTTGCATCGAGCTCACTCTGAACAATCTCACCAGAGTGCTCCAATGCGCCAATCCGATCGTCAACCAGTACCGAACCACCCACTTGCTCGTCCAGCCTGTAGCCATTTTCAGGTTTGCGAACTCGTCTCAAAAGATTGGGATCCAACTCCAACATATTCTGTTGCCATGAACCCACGGCGGATATGTAAGGAAGCCGTCTCCGTTTGGCATCTAATACGCTCTCAGCAGAGAATACAGGCGCAGTAGTGCCTACTGTGCAAAATATCGCGTCGGCAGTCCCCAGATGAGTGCTCATCTCTGACTTGTACCCAACGTACGATGGATCCAGGTATTTCATGCGAGCTGGGGATCCCCAGTGCTTCTCATTCTCTTGAAGAATCTCTGCAAGTAGGCCTTGTGCACGCTGAGCAGACCGATTGAGTATGGTGATGGACTTGATCTCGTCGCCTCGAAGCGCGAGTGCCAGTCGCAGATGCCACAGTGCCTGTCTGCCCGCACCAAAGACGACGATATTCTCCACGCAGCGTCGCCACAGAAAGGGAACCAAGGCACTCAACGCAGTTCTATACCCCGTGATCTCTTCAGCATTCAACATGCCCGTAGGTATTCCATTGAGATCGCAAATGGCGAGGATACCGTGCAGAGCGCCAGCGGCTGGAGATGATGGCGGTGGGTCTACAATCACTTTGACGCCCACACTGCTCGCAGAGGTGAACGGTCGAAATAGGGTTTTGTTGCCTTCTGGACGGTTAACAATTCCCACTGGCGGTTGGTACTCGCGTTCCGATCCGGTGGAAAATTCCGTTAGGCATTGTACGAGCGCATCGCGAATATGAAGAATTTGGTCTTTTCTAAGATCGATGAGTATGTCGTGAACGGTGGAATCGCTGAGTATCAAGAACTGGCCCATAGCGGCAGAGTATTGTCGTCTCAATGTAATTGCTCTTGTCAGTTTTGCGGTCGTGAAGAAAAGATAATTGTCATTCGGATCAAGGAAGCCGAAAGAGTATTATTTTGACAAACTGGCGTGTTGCAGAATCCAAGTGCCGAGGTCTTGTGCATTGTCTCAATAGTGAGTGCAAGATGCCAGCTCTTGACTATATCTGAGTGATCATATTTTCTCACAAGTGAGTGCCTACTACGTACTCAGGTACGTAGTGTAGATCTGCAGAATATGTGCATGAAAGCCGAACCACTTCGGAGGCAATTCCGATACCAATGGTCGGGACCCACTCCGGTCTGACAGGTCCAATCAGATTTACTCGCACAATACTACGTATCATAGTAGTGGTAGACTTCCAGCTCCATAGAGACTCAAGTCAAATGACTTTTATGGTAATCCAATGCATGACTTAAGGTGGGGGTGGAGGGTCGCTGAATGTCTTGGGCTTCGACTATAATATGCTATAACATGGCGTAACCTATGCAGGTATCAATAGCGTTCTCATCACAGCACTCATACCATAGTATTGACAGCAAATAATAATGGCCATCGGACGGACATTCAACGTGGTCGGCATCCACTGCGCGGGAGAGGTCTGCGACGTCGTTACCGGCGGTGTCCTCGATGTTCCCGGCAGGACCATGTTTGAGAAGATGAATTATTTTTGGCAAAAGTCGGACCATTTACGCAACCTTTTGCTCAACGAACCCCGGGGCTCATCCGCCATGTGCTGCAATGTCATACTACCAAAATGTAACCCTAAAGCCGATGCAGGCTTCATCATCATGGAGCATGAGGAGTATCCGGCCATGTCGGGAGCCAACACCATTGCCACTTCGACGGTATTACTCGAGACGGGCATGGTCCCCATGCAAGAGCCAACGACAAAGATGATTCTCGATGCACCTGCTGGTCTTGTCACTATCACGGCTGACTGTGAAGCGGGAAAAGTCAAAGCAGTCGAATTCGAGAACGTTCCGGCTTTTGTATACGGCCTCGACCTCGATATCCAAGTTCCGGGATTTGACTCTCCTGTTAAAGTCGATATTGCCTGGGGAGGCATGTGGTACGCATTGGCAGACGCGACAAGCCCAGGGTTGTCCCTACAACCCGCCAACGGGCGAGAATTGGTCGATATAGGAGAACGCATCAAGCGCGCCGTCCAGGCACAAACCAATCCCGTTCACCCAGACAACCCGGCCATCCACGGCGTCACCGTTCTGGAATTCACAGAGCCTCTGATCATCAACGAGGCTGGCAAGGTTGCCACCAATACGGTCGTGGTGTCACCAGGAAGACTAGATCGAAGTCCCTGCGGAACAGGCACTTGTGCCCGGCTGGCTGTGCTTCACAAGCGGGGGCAACTAGGTGTTGGGGAGTCCTTTATGCACCGCAGCATCATTGGAACCAATTTTCGTGGAACGGTCAAGAGCGAAACCAAGATTGGCGAATATGATGCAATCGTGCCGGCCGTGAAAGGCACAGCCTGGATCACGGCATTCAAGCAGGTCATTCTGCACCCTACGGACCCATTTCCGGAGGGGTTCAGAGTTGGCGACAAATGGCTTCTTAGCTAGATGCATTCCTCTTCATGAAATCAAGTTACCAAAGTAAAAGTAGGACCAAAAACGTTTAATCGAGAGGTCTTCTGCGTCTCAGCCACAATAAGCGGTTGGGCGAGAGGGAACAAGGCATTTTATTCGGCACATGCGGGACCTAAATGGGGCTGAATTGTGATTTGGCTCGGTGGCTAACTGCAGCTATCCATCACCCCTGTCAGCGCGCTTCTTATAGAACACGATAAGGCAGTTCAGGCCTCATACTCAAATAGACAGTCAATAATCGTGTACTGAAAATGCCAGATGCCTAGTTAATTGCTGATTATACCCAGTTGTATCCGCTTGATAATGCATTTCAAGTTGATCTGTATTGTTAATTTCTTGCCCCCATGTGTGCTTGTTCTTTTTTCTTATTCCAATTCACTGCCACCACGGTGGTAGTACAGCATGCTGCTATTTTCGGAAGCAAGCTATGTAGAGACCTTACACATACACATGTGTACCACCGCCCTTCAGCAGAGACTTTTGTCATAGACCTGGATTAAAAACCATAAAACTACCCAAAACTACCAGTCACCAGCACGATCATCTCATTCTCAACCTATGAACACAGATTAACCATGCTTGCAAACACTACATTAATTCTGATCGTTACCAACTTGCTTTTGGGCATAATCTTTGCCGTCGGCCATCATCTGTTCTATGCGTCTCTTGATGGCGAAATCGTCAGGAGCCCGTCTCAGCAGGAATGGTATTTGCGAATAGGGACTGGCCTTTCATTCCTCGTGCGCGCCCTTTTATCCGCCTCTATCGGATCGGCATATGTTCAGTTGATATGGCATAATCTCAAATCGACGACCACAAGTATAAAGGGTGTTGATGCGATACTGGGCGTTCTCCACAACATTTGGGATCTTACTGTATGGGAGCTCTGGAGGACACGACCAATAGTAATCGTGGTCGCTTTGGCGATATGGTATATGGCACCTGGCATCCCCCAATGGTGCCCTTACTTACGAGATTGTAGGGCACTTCCCCTTACTGCAATTGTCACTCCAGCCACCCTTATCATTGAGCCAGCCAGTCAACTGCGAGAAGACAACATCACCATGCCTGTACCGATCCCCGATTATTCGTACCCTCTCAAATATGCCCAATTGCAGATGTCAGATAATCTTTATCAGGCGCCTGCTGCGCGCATTTTGAGATTATTATTCTCAGTCGCTTCGACAGGGACGATTCTGGCTCTCCCACCACCGTTTCCAAACTCGACTTATCCAATAGAGTTCTACGGGCCTTCCATCACTTGCGAGGATCTAGACCGATCGACGTCCCCGTTGGCTCAGTCACTCGATCAAAGTTTGACCGAGGATTATGGGATGGCCTCGATGGGTGGCGTTCAGATTGATTATGTGGGGTTTGTTCCTAATTGTGACTCGGTCGTCAATCCATGCCTTGGAAATGATACTGCAAACGCTATTTGGTCATTTCGGCAGATGGCCAACTCTTCCTTCAGCAATGACCAGAAAATCAATTTACGGTCCCTGGATCATATGTCCTCAGACTATAGCAAGATCTACGTGGTCGTCCCGGAGCCCACTTCGGACTTTCCCGTACATTTCAAAACAATCAAATGTGGGCTTTACAACTCGTCGTACTTTGGCCAGGTCAACTTCGAAAACGGTCAGCAAAATTTGAATTTTCGGATCGAAAAAATACAAGGAGTCAGTATACAGACCAAGTGTTCTAATTCGCGGGAAAATCTCTGTCTATCCGCAGCGCCGTATATAGCAATGTTTGACGCCTTGGCTAAGATGTTGCTGGGGACGATTGAAGTTTCACACTACGGCTATGCAACTCCCTATCAAACACAGATCATGACATCGGTTCTTGCTCAGAGCCGTGAATTGCAATATCGAGAAGTGATTAGCCGAACACAGGTACCGCTCACCATAGCAAACTTAAGCACGGCAGAGGCCCTGGAGCAAGTATTTACCAATACAACGTTGAGCTTGCTTAGCGATTCATACTTTTTGTAAGCTATTCGTTGCTTCTTAAACATTGCCCACGAAAGAACCTGACATCACTCATAGACAGAATCAGACAATAACACCTAAACAGAACGTCACTGTCCGATCACCTCAGAATGCATACGTTTACTCACCGCGTAACCTTTTGATTGCCTATAGCCTTGGGTGTGGCGTAACCTGCTTGGTGGCCATTTCTGGGGTGGTGTGCATACATTCGGCATCGGCTTCCTATGAAACTACGTTTTCGACAATTCTGCGAACAACCCACTATTTGCATTCAGACGCAGATATCTTACCGACAGAAACCAGCGGCGCAGAGCCACTGCCTGAACGACTCGCCAAGGCAAAAGTAGCTTTTAAACGCCAATCATCCGGTCCATCAAAAGACGATGAGTCAAACCAGGCGTGGGGCTTTTCTGTTTCGTGCGGACATGGCGAAAAACTGCAAAGGATTGCATCTGTGGACTCGTTGTTACAAACCAGTGAGCAAATGCAGCTTTCTGAGTCTCGATCTACACAGCCATCTATGAGATCGGGTAATGATTGAATATCCTTGGAAAGGCTCTCTCAAGGAGAAATAAAATAATCACAATACCCGACAGAGCGCGACATTGAGACCAATAGTCTCCTGGCGCTGGCAATATATATATGGTAGATAATCTCGAAGGCAACAATTCCAACGTTCAAACCCCTTTTCGAATAATCAATCATTTCACTTACTATAGCCTCGTTCATCACAACAGATTTCGCGCAAGTGGCAGTTTTTAAAATCGGAAACAACTAGTAAATATAAATTACATTCCAATCGACAACCCCTCCCAAAGATAAAAGAGCGGAGGCAGTTTTAGGTTCGTTCTTATTGAGTAATTGGTTATCTCCGGGTAGGCATGTAATGTTAGTAAACATGTATTCCGGCCATCCATCATTCCCCCCCCCC